GACAGTGACAATGAGTCGAGCTCGGTGTCGAGCGAGATTTATACCTTATACTTAGGGGGAAATGAACGCGCCGCTATCGTGAGTGTGCAAATATATGTACACGCGTAATGTGTAACTCGAGAGAGATAGAGCAGCGAAAAGTGATATAGCCTAGGCGTGCGCGCCCAAGACTGACACCCGCGACTGGAATGAAAAAATCCCTCGTACGAAGTCAGTCATTAGGGACGAAACGATTTACTTCGTGGAAAAGTAATACGGCACTGCACGCGGACACAAAATCGCCGTCTTCGCATGCACGCGCGCACGGACGTCTCTCGGCTTTCTGTATATAAGTACACGCGTTTAGTACCCTCGAGTGTAGGCAGTTTAGGCCAAGCACGTATTTGGGCTAATCGATAACGCGGCATTTTTAAATGGTATTTTCGCTCGCCCACGGCCTCCGAGTGCAACACACTCGAGAATTGCTCGTTGCAGCCCGAGCGATCGACGCTTAAAATATATATTTCAACGTCAACTCTCGATACGAAGCAAGCTCCATTACGCGTTTGTTTTGATTCACGACGACGATTTCCCGACGAGCAGCAGCAGCACGATCCTTTTTAATTTTCCGCAGTTAATGAGCTTGCTAATAAAACGCGCCGCGCCGAGCGAGCTACGTCGAACTTTGACATTTAAAATATTAACGTTGAAGCATTTTCTCGAAAATTCTCACTCGTTTGAGTGCGTGTAATGCGCGTATACGTGCGAGTGCGGCGGTAGTCGAATGATATGTGCCCGACTGTATAATACACTGCCGCATTCACGGCTATGTTAACGAGAAAATATTTAATAATTAACAACCACTCCTAGATTTCTATTATATACTTATTACGTCGATTGTAAAAATCACCCGTAAATACATACGTATTCAATCGTGTTGCTCTTGACACGACAACATATTATATGCACAAAGTAAGAAGCAGCGCTGCGGAAAAAAAGGAAAGCCGATAATTGCTAGATGTAAATCGAGAGAAAAGCTGCACTACAAATTGAATCAACGTATAGAACGCGCCGATCTTTGCGTAATATTTCGATCATTTAATTAATTGTTCGACTCACCTATACGCGGTGCACGTGCGCTTACATAGATTTTAATGCGGCATATTAATAAGACGTCCACGATGGATCAAGCATCAAAAAGCTTCGTACGTTATCACAGCATGTCCAATTATATCGAAAATTGCGACTGCGAACGTACAGTGAAATCCGATTATCGCCCGTTTATATATTATTCGTCTCGAGTCTAACACTTGTACGCATGAATGTAAATCAATTATTTTGCGTATTTAGCCCCGCGTTCGCTCGCGAGCCGTGAAGGATTCTAGGCATTAATTCGGACGCGGTACACGATAGGAAAAAAAAGCTCCTTCGCGCGTAAGGCCAATAAAGTGAAACAGCCGTTACACACTGCGCGAGGATCATCATACACACACGCGCGCGCGCCGTATAGAAGCGATATCTCGTGCTCGATCTTACCATTTCCCTGAACTCAGCGGCAGCAGCAGAACTATTCGTTTATAAGCTGACTCGAGAGCGAGTGCACACCACGCCTTGGCGCGAATGTATGTAAGCGAAAAATAGTATGAGCTAAGAAGCGAGAGAGAAAAAGAGAGAAAAAGAGAGAAAGAGAGATAGCACGTCTCGGATTCTCCAGATACTTATCCAAGGCAGCTCCGCGTCATTAGCGGTCTCGAGACGCGCGTACCGGCTCGCGCTATATCATATCGCTCGCGCGCGCGCGAGGGGGTCGCACCGTCCGCGCATAGCCGCAGCCGAGGCTTCTTGTGTTTTTAACGGGAGCCGGAAGAGAACTTGGCACAAGTTGCCTGAGCATATACGCTGGCCTCCCTTCCGCGTGATTTATCGATATCATACGTAGCTCTCATACACACGACTTTATATACGCATCGGGCCGACGAGCTTTGCCTCGTTATCGTAAAAAGTCGTTCGCTCTATGCTCTTATATGAGCGGAGATTCGTCGTCGCGGCTACGTACATATACCTGTACAAACGATATTAAACTTCAGCCTCTCGTTCGACTGCAATTTTCACCGATGGTATAAATGTGCCCATGATCATCGGGTTACCGACGTAGATTATATAGGCGCAAGCTCGAAACAGCCGCGTTACTGTTTGTACATGTAATTTAAATGTCCTGGGTCTAGGTAAATATGGTCAGAATAAATTTCGAATCATACTGCTAAATATTTATTTACTGTACGAAATATTCTAAACTGTTACTCATGTCGATCATGATGAAAAAGCACAAATCCCTGCTGCACAAGAACTATGGACTAATAAAAATAAAATAGAGCAAGTTATTTTTAACAAGGTGATTTAATTATTCAAGAAACCTTTTTTTGTTTGACGTTACCTAAAAGCTCTAAAATAGTTTATTTTTATCCAAAGTGTTGTATTTTTTGCTATAGGTTTAAATAATTTTAGTGTGGGAACGAGCAAATTCTGATTCAGAAGACTATTTTCAAAATTAGTATAAAAAGTTCAGATTAATCTTAAGCTCGCCAAATTTTTTTTGCAACAAGCGCAATGTTTTTTCTGAAAATAATCACTTTGAAGTGAGCAAAACCGCTGGGTTGATGTTACTGAACCCAATATTCGATTCTAACTCATTGGTGGAACATTATAAAAAAATGGGCAATAATATCAAAATTAATGGCTTCAAATGAGTGAGATTTTTTTTAACCCATTAAGTCCCAAGAGGACGTTTATTCAACACTTTATTCGGCCATTATATTTTTGGTGTAAATGGAGTCAAAAAAATTTGCGAGTAACTAATTCTAATGTAAAATTTAATGCCCTTTCAGAATCTGTGTAACTTTTGACCTGATTACTTTTTCGAAAATCTGAGATCAGATTCTGAATGGGCATTAAATTTTACTTTAGAATTAGTTACTCGCATATTTTTTTGACTCCATTTTTACCAAAAATACAGTGGACGAATAAAGGGTTGAAAAAACGTCCTCTTGGGACTTAATGGGTTAAGATTGGATTAATCTCTTGTATGACTTAAACGCATTTATTGAACTATTTTTCGATGAATCACATAGGTTAAAAACTCAAAATATGATTTAATCATTTTTTTATCGAGTTTTAGAGGAAAAATCGATGAAATGGAGTAAAAAATATTAAAAAATACTATATCCACTTTGAGGAGACAGAAAAAATCATTTATACACGCCTATATTGCGCGTGTTTTTATAGAATCCTTAAAGAAAATTGCTATTAAAAGTCGATTTTTAATCGAGAAAAATCGTTCAAAATCGGCCCACCCTATTATATGTCTCTTATGTATGCCCTCGATACAGTGTCGAAAGAGTCGTTTTCTTCGAATACTATGGAAAATATGCTATCAAAACTTCGTGATAAATATAATTTCTTGGAAAAGTAACGCATACGAGTTTGCAAAAGCACTTTAAATAGAAGGGGAGATGTCTCTGGTCGTATGGCGCGATTGTGAGTAAAAATGCTTAGGACGGCTACTCTCTCTCTTCTTTCTCTTTTCTTCGGTAAAGTTAATAGGCATGCACAGGCTGCCAAACTTACTGCTGTCGGCAGTTCTTTTCTTAAGACTTCAGATGCTCGATCGACCGCAAAGCGGTTTTCTTAAATACGATACATTTTGTGGCATTAGCGCAGGAAAAGAGAGAGAAATAAAGAGAAAGATCGATGTATACACGAGGCGAAGGGGTGAAGGCATAGCCACGAGAAGCCAATTAAGATTAAAGACGAGACCTCAGCTATATAATATGCGCGTGTTGCTATTTACAATATCCAGGTTCAACGAGCTCTAGAAATTCTACGAATTATTTGTTCTCATATTATACATGTACTCCTAGTTGTCCAAGTGTCACCGAGACTTCACCGAGATAAAAATTTTAATTCTTTTTAAATTGCCTTTTGATCCTTCAGATTGATTTCTTGAAATTTCCTACGCACAGTTTAAATGGTTGCAAGAAAAATGATATTACTATTTTTTTAATGTTGTTTTTAATTTCATATTATATTTCATGCAGAAAAAGAATACCTTACAGTTATCACAGTGCAGCATATCATAAACGTCACATTTCAAACGAAAGGTTAATTTTTGCATGCTTTGAAAAATTTTTCGAACGTTATTGGTATCAATTTTATCACTCTCGCACAACACTACGCATCCATCTCCTCTTGCTCGCGACCAATATCATCTGAAATTATAGAATCTATATGCTCAATCCCGCTCACTCAATCGCGTCCTGCCTTCAGTCTTCAACCTATCACTGCCTCCCACATCACCAAACTCATTACCACCATCTCGTCCAAATCCATGGGATTGGACGATATTTCCTCACCCATGCTATCACTCGCTTCATCTACGTTATCAACCCCACTTACCACAATCATTAACACTTCAATAATAACAGCAACCTTTCCTCATACATGGAAGCTCGCTTCCATTATTCCCCTATCAAAAACTTCATCACCCTCCTCCCCCAATGACACTCGCCCCATAGCTCTTTTATCTGAACTGTCCAAAATACTCGAACGCGTCATCCACACCCAACTCATCACCTACCTTATTGATCATGACCTACTCTCTCCTCATCAGCACGGATTCCGGCCGAGTCATTCCACCCAAACAGCCATCCTAGACATCACCGAGCGCGTCAGATCCGCCATCAACGAGCGGATGGTCTCGGTCTTAGTGTCCTTCGATTTTTCGAAGGCCTTTGACACGATCCCACTCCATCAGCTACTCGTGCGGCTACGTGAGATCGGCTGTGATGACTTGACAATCCGTTGCGTTTGCGGACTATTTAAGCCTACGCAGCCTAGCAGTGCGGAAGGCTGATGGTTCGCATTCTCATCTCTACCGCACCACATCTGGCGTCCCACAAGGAAGTGTACTCGGCCCACTCGTCTTTCTCATGTACATAAACTCCCTCCCCTCCATCCTCTCCCAATCACATGCCATCATCTTTGCAGACGATACACAAATCATTTTTCACGCCCCGCCGTCCCAGTTCAGAGATTTGGTGTCTCGCATGACTGCTGATGCCAACGCTGTTCACCAATGGGCCATGGATAATGGCCTTAGCTGAAATGCCCAAAAAACTCGCGTTTTATTGCTGGGGAATCACGTTTTCATCAATGCTCTTGGCAGAGCAAACCCCCCTAAAATTGTACTGGCTGGTACAGCACTCGAGTTCTCACCCACCGTTAAGATCCTTGGTCTGGTGCTCGACTCGAAGCTGAACTGGGATGCACAAATTTCATCCGCCTCATCTAAAATTCATTATGCCCTATACTCCCTACGTCACCATCGCAACTCCCTGTCACGTCATCTGCGCCAGCATCTCGTTCAGGCGCTGATTGTTCCACACCTCGACTACGCAGCGGCTGCGCTGACAAGCCTCACGGCTGAGCAGAAGCTCCGATTACAGCGCCTACAAAATGCCTGCATTAGATTCATCTATGACAACATCCCACGAATGGCACATGTAGTTTAGCGTTTGGTTGGCTCTCTGTTGCACGTAGGGGCGACCAACTCATGATTCTCCTGGCAAGGAAAATCGTGATCAGTGGCACACCATCCTGCCTGGTAGCGCGTTTCACACTCCTCGAGAGCCGTGATCCCAACCGTAGAGTGACCCGACAGCTTCCTCCACGTCTTTACTACCCATCTGCTCGTACATCAACACTCCATAATTCATTCACTCATACGACCACCTAATTGATCAACTCTCTACCTGCATCATTCTCCCTTCTGGCCACCTCTCCCAACCCTCGCACGTTCCTCCGCAACCACTTCCTCTCCCTTGAGAAGTCAGAGTGGCTGCAGCGCTGTGCGACAGAGAATCTCTCACCCGTACCTCTTCCCCTCATTGGCCTACTTTCACTTCGCAACTACAACTAATAGTGCAATCAATTATTACTAAAATTCACCCCGCATGAATGCAGTCCCTGGGCAATTGTTGGTGGGCCTGGAGCCTTTGCTCCGTCTGCCCTGGCCCGGCGATAGAGCTGGCGGGCGGCTCCCGCATTCTGGCTTGTCCCACTTCGGGTCGGCGCTCATTGGGTGACATTGAGCTTTTGTATATATGTAAATATGTAAATAACTGTACTGTACTCTATTTTTATTTTCTTTCTTTTCGCCATTTTAAATTGTCTATCTGTATGCAATCTATTACCCATCTGCGCTAATTGCTCAATGTATCTATGTATTTTTTTATAATTCTTCATTTACTATCTGTAATTTACTTCGGGGCCACATGGGGTTCTACCCCCCGGTCCCATAATAAATAAATAAATCAATCAATTAATCAATCACTCTTTTCATTATCTGTATCCAAATCCTCGTATGACTTCATGATCGGTTCTAAGCACGTATCGCACGTGCAATTTTCTTTGCAAATTTTTGTTTTGTGAAACTTGATGTTATTCAAAACGATTGCAATGAATCAGCGACTCTTTAACCATCAGGAATGTTTGGATTCGGTCAAACGGTGTAAATGTTTTTGGCTACTTCCAATACTTCCGATAGTTGGGTCGGGGTTGTCATGTATCCAATTACGTGTACATAAAAAACTTTTGTGTTGCTTTCATTTTTCAAATACTTCTATTTGCGAGAAATCGAGCTTATCATTGCTCATTAATCTGCTATGACATAAATTCAAATAAAATTTGCCTGAGCACTGATTATAACACATGGAATAGTACTTTACGATACAAGTGCCATAAGTAACACTTTTTGGCACGGCGTAGTTTAGGGCCCGAGCGCAGCGAGGGTCCTAATAGCTGGGCCGAAAAGTGTCCCCATGGCACGAGTATCGTACAACATTTTATAGCATTATGCTAAGTTCACATTTATGCCCCCTTTTCCGAGTCATGAGTCGCACTTTCTGGTACCGCAAAGTGAGGTTAGCGCACGAGCGTATGCGAGTGCGATGCGAACGCAGCGGTGCCAGAATGTGCGACTTATGCCACAGAAAAGCGTGCCATAAATGTGAGCTTATGCCACACAGTGCTAAATAGCATTTTGTAAAGTTTTTGAGCATTCGGTGATAACGTGCTTGATTTTGGGCAAAACGTCTTTATAGATTGATTGTAAGATATTGCTTAAAAAGTTTGCAGATTGATACTCTGATAAAAATTGAAAGATCGGGACGATTTTTCCTCCAACTGAAGCACTTGCTACATATAGAAATATATAAGAAGATAAACAGGTTGAGGAAGTTTGAATTTTTTTAACAAAGCGTCCAGCTGCATCGATAGAAACGGAAAAGTCTTCCTGTTTCGATATGCAGTTCCATAATTGTTTTTGTTTTCTAGAACTAAATAGATATAGGAAATTCTGTAACACTTTCAATTTTATTCGACCATTCTTTTTGCAAGGTCACATCTAATAATTCGTGCTGTAACGGGGAACCAACTTGATAGTAAGGCCGGCTAGGATTCCGGGTCACAAAATGATTGCTCGTCGAGCCGATTTGCTCGACGAGTTACTTACGTACAGTGGTGATGTTTGTGTGTCGTTGTTCGGCGAGTCGTCTACTCGTCGAGATCCTCGGCTGCTGTAATGGGAGGTCGACGAAAGGAAGAACTCGCGTTTAATAGTAAAATAACGATTCTATTCTATTCGGCGTCAAGCCTTCAATCATATATTACAGCGGTCTTTACAATTTCGCGAATAAAACTTCAAAGGGGGCCGATCGCTCGCTCGCAAATACAATAAGTTTTAGCTTACTCGTCGAGGTTTCGCTGCTCAGCGTGTCGAACTCGATCGCTGGATTTAATATGCGGCGCTGTTTCGTCGCCGGCTGGAAGTCGCTTCCAGCACGGTGCAACGGGCTGGGCAGTGTCGTGGCAACCAGGTCGAATACTTGCGTCCTAGCACTAGCTACAAGCTTGGTTGCACTACACGGCACTGCACACGATTTGCAAGAAAATGTGAGCGTAATGAGTCGATCGCGGTGTGACTAGTCACGTCTGTGTACGGTACAAGAGTGTCTCGCTTCTCTTTCGATCAGCGGCCCTTCGGCCTACGCGCGTTCGCCGCTGTCGTCTGCTCGTCGCGCTCTTGGCACGGCGAGCCTCGCGCTGTCGTATTTATTAGCGCCCGCGGTTTTAATTGAATTTTTGAATTCCATTACAGAGCATAACATTTTTTGCTGGTCATACTCCTTGTTCATGGAATTCAGTACTTTGGCGAGCTTAACAAAGGACTTCCTGCGTATGCACTGTGTAGTGGCCCAGAACCTGCACCGAATTTCATCGTGTCCTTGGCCTTTTTTCATTGAAATGCAGTTGGTTTACAGTGGACCGATTCTTTCTGGACTTTTTTCCTTAAAGTGCCGGATAATTGTCATTTTTTAAAATGAGGCATTCTCGATGTGTCGCAAGTTTCTATCACAAACATTTTTATCTTTGGCGAGTCACTAGCACATGAAGATGCTGTTAACTTATTAACGCATTCTGTGCAGTAACCCGAGAATTTTATAGTTCCATCTTTTGCAATTTAATGATTTTCGAACGTAAAGGGGCAACGTACGCAATTTGGAATATATTTTATCAAACATAATATGTGTCCAACCGTCTTTAATTTTAATTCAAATCGATCACTGTCCGCATACAAATATAACGTGAGAGGGTTTTTAAGCATTTTCCCAACTTGTTACTTGCTGTTTTCCATACATTTGCACTTTTTGATAAAAGTTTGCCGTTCTCATCGAACACCATAGCCTTTTTCAGCGCTTCAAATATATCTTCAATACTTTTAACAGCTCATATTATGAGACGCATATTATGAGCATTGGGTATTGTTCTTTGAGGTCCTAGGAAGCTAAAAAAAAGGGTGTACTACCGAAATTTTAATAGGTAATTTTTTTCTAAACATTTATCATCCAAGAAAAGCTAAATAATGCAGGCGATACGTGCGCTGCATTGTCCAGCTATCGAAATTTTTCCAAACCTCTGGCAATACTACTAATGACCTTAACAATATAATTGAAACATATGAATCGACAGATTTTTGCATGTTTTTTGCAATGGTGCCCTTAGTTTTTCGAAAAAAGCATTTGCTGGCCAAAAAATGGCTCTAGAATTACGATTATTTTTCAGCCAATCGTTCCGAAATCTTCTTGACTGAAGATATATCAATCCTAAGTAAGAAAAAAAAAAGAAGAGTTGACATTCTTGGAAAAGCGAGCATATATATTTTATTGTGCTTGAAGGCTCTGGGAAGCTGAAATAATGCGTAGAAAATAGAATCACTCATAATATCACTCATGATCATCATATAGAATGATAAAGATGAAGAAGGTGAAGTTAATGGTAAAGATGAAGAAGATGAAGATCATGAAGAAGATGAAGAAGAGGAAAATGAAGAAGAAGTTAAAAAAAGCGACAATGAGCTTGAGAGCGGTTTTAATGATGAAGACGATGTTAATGAAACTAACGTGATATCCAAAAATAGTAAGAACTCGAACAAAAAAAGTACTAATAATTTTCCAAGGTTATCAAAAAAACGTAGAAAAATAATTGATAATTCAGATGAATCTGAAGAAATTGAAAAAGAGAAGGAAGAAATTGGTAAAAATAAAAAATAAACGAAGAGCAGCAACCATATATTGAACCGTATAATGATGTAGAAATAGAAATTCCTTCTGGAGATACTGAAGATTCTCAAGTAAGTTATTATTTATTCTATCTTATATTTTAAAATTATTTTGGCCCACTTTTCTGTCTCAAAGGTATATGTGACATCGCAGTTTCCCTGTTAAATGTTTTTTGTCTCTAAATATATTTTTTTAGACTTGACTTGTGGTTACACTTGATCTGCTACTCGTAATTCCTTTTCGCTTGGATTAGGGAATTCTAAAATTACGTTATTATACCAAATGTACTGAGATATTGTGATAAGACATTTTTTACGAATATTTCACGATTGTCTTGAGTAATTGAAATCAATTATGTAATTTACTTACAATTTTTTTTTAATTTCTATGTTGTTCTTTCCATTGGCGAATCATTCTTTTATCCAAAGTTCGGTTTTCTTTTCTTAGGGATTTTTAATGAAATTGCAACTAAATTAAAAAAAATATACAGTTCGTGTCTATTAACCGCTTTTTTTGTTTTTGCGTTTATTTTCATACTCCAATTTACTGAGATTTTATTAACAGGTTGCATTTAATAAAAGTCGATTAACCCCTGAGGAAGCACTGGCAGCGGCAGAAAAAATAATTATAGACCAGAAAAAAAAATTAAAAAATTTGGCTGATATGTTCCTTGATGTGAAAAGGCAGAATATAAAATTAAAAAAACAATTGTCCGAAAATAAGAAAGTAAAAAAGTACGAAAATGGTAAGTTATCTTTGAATTTATATTTTTTAAAAATTATTTTCTTCCTTACCTGTTCAAAACGATTACGTGTATTTTCACCTTGGGATCGGAAAATAGAATTATTCATAATTGGTATTTTTTTACAGTGATTAATGGCCGCATTCAAATAAAATCACGCAGGTAATACGTGAGCGGTTTTTGCCAATACCTGTACTATCTTTTATGGATTAAAACCATTCTATGCTGTGGAAAGAAAGTTTCAGATAGAGATACCTGCTTATGCAAAATACAATTAAATTTTAATTTAATTTTCCATAAATTGGTCACTCGGTTAATCGATACCATCCAATCAAAACGCAGTTAAAAAGGAAGGCAAAAAAGACGCTTGCATTTTTGGAATGCGCCAGTGAGATTTGTTGATTCTGCTAGATAATAGTCAGTGTAACCATCTGATCACCCCGTAAAAGCAGCTCCGCTTACAAGACGGTTAGTTTTTGATAACCCAACCAAACACGCTGAATATCCTTGCAGTTTTTTGGTTGATGGAAGTTATTTTTGTAACAGCCGTCATACTCTCAAAGTGTAGTGTTGTGTTGAATAATTTTTTAGATTTGCAGTGATGACTTCAATTATATAAATCGCGTTATTTAAATACTGTCCTTTACTCGACGATGATTATATTAGTTGTCGGCAGAATCAGGATTTTACATTTGTAAACTCTCTGCCAGTTTATTTTCGAGGGAAGCTGCCATTGATGAAGCGATCTGAAACACTGGATCTTAGCCGATGTAAGGTTTAAGATTTAGATCTAGGTTAAATAATCTAGTTTGCTCTATAAAAAATAAAAAATGTATGTTTCGAGAGAACGCTCAATGTTGCGACCGAAATTTATTCAATGATCACCTGAAGTTGTGGGGCCCATGTCTTTGGACCGATTTTCTTTATAAACTAATGGTCATTTTGTGAAACATGAATGGGGTTTCTGAATCGATTCAAAGTTCTACTCGGAAAGTGAAATAATTACATTTCTGATAATACTTCGAATGAAAGATTTAAATTTCTATTTAAATTGTAAATGAATACTTCATTCTTTATCAATAGATTTGGAATAGGTTTGGAACTAAAAATCGTCCTTAATTTAAAAAATTGCGAATAAGTAAATAATTATCTAATGATTAATGAGCTTGTTAGCATTAGTAAATTTATGCTGAGTAATTTTAAAAGTTTCTTTTTTCACAACTCTCGAACCTTTTTAAAGTAACGATATCTTTTAAGCCCCTATCCTACTAATTAAGAATACGATTCACGCGTATCAACGATAAACATAAGTTGAAAATGAAACTTTTCAAGCACATCTCTTCACTCTTCCAATTCACTCTTTACAATTCCAATTGATGATTTTTTTGGAAAACTGAGCGGGGATTTTAAAGAGCTGCTCATCAAATACAAATTATCACAGATGGTTTCAGGATAATTATCAATAGAGCAGTCAATTTTGTGGGGCCCATGTCTTTGGACCGACTTTCTTCATAAACTAATGGCCATTTTGTGAAACATAAATGGGGTTCAAGTTTCTGAATCGATTCAAAGTTCCACTTGGGAAGCAAATTAATTAAATTCTGTTTAATACTTCAAATCAAAGATTCAACAGATCCACATACAATGTAATAGCTGTTCCAATTGAACTTGTACTTATATGCAAATATACTGTTTGCCACTTGCGAGTTTCAATAAATTTATTCATACGCCACCTGTTAGCAATATATAAAACTAAAGACTTACTCTTACGAATCCAGAAAGGGATTGAACGTAGCGATTTCGCATCGCAGTCACTATGCTCGTCCACTAACCTGACTCTATATAATAGTACCAGAAAGAGAAAGAACGACTTAGCACAGTGCTATAAAATTGAGTATGGCATTCGTACTTTAGGGGATACTTTTTGACACGGCTATTAGCCTGTTATTTGTCACGGCAAGTCTGCGAGAAATAGATAGAATTACTTTGAGATGTACATATTATCAAACCCATACAGTACAGTTAAATGCCTTTCCACACTTTCTTCTGCCAATTTCTCATCAAGCAAGCGACCAATACAGTTGCATGCGCGCGAGTGTATACTTGACGCGCTTACACAGAGCGGTGGTAAAAAAAATTTTTGCTTAGCAAGTGTGCGCGAATTTCATTGAACGCAAACATTTTCGATGATATGGGATGGTCAAAACGATTAGGATACATTATAATAACGTTCATATTAATGCGATTGCGTCAGGAATTACGCGCAGTATGCACACGCGTGTGTCTGTACGCGTGCGTGGGAAAGAGCTTTTCTTTCTTTCCATTCAGCAGCAGGTATATTAGTTTTTACGAGGTTGCGAGTTGGCATATTATAAATCTGCTAGCAGCGAATTTCACCGGTTATGTGCGCTCGCGCTGAGCAGCGCGCGTTTGTATCGGTTATTATTATTAAGCGAATGACGCGGTGCCTTTCGCGATGCCCCCAAGATACGTGTGTGTACGTGTATGTGTATGAATGTGGAGAGTACCGAGAGCCGATTTATTCATATAAAATACGAAACAATAGAATTGAGGGATTTTCTTATTGTAAGTATAGGGAAAATCGCGTATAGATCAACGCGTTGAGCGATCTTACACGCTACACTACAACTTTTCGAACGCACAACTTGCGCTAGTTTTAATAAGTCGAATCAAAGACGAATTATTATTTTTGATACTCCGTTTCATTCATTGGACATAATTGCGTAAATTTAGTTCGATATAATTTATTATCTAAATCGAGAATTATTTCCTTGATAAAATTATAAAAACATTCATTCGTAAAAAGGACTATCAAGTGTCAGATTCACCTTGGATTATTCTAATCGAAGATATGCATGAATTATTGTTAAAAAAAGTCGCCTCTCTGTATTGAACATTATATATGGAATGAAGATGATGTTTGAATGCTCATAATCCAGAGCTCACGTATTTTTCTATGCAGTGTACCATGGAATGTTTTTAAAAACAACTAACCGTTTTGTGTGTTGACTAACCGTTCATATATGACAACTTTAAATGGTTTGGATTATCTCGAGTAAAATTTCAAGGGTTCAAAATCATCGGCGTGAAAGGTATCTATCAATTTGCAAAAAAGTCAAAGAAAAACCTGTCGAGCTATAATAGCCTCTCGTTAATCATTACTCTTTGAAATTTTTTTGACCTTTGAAAATCTGACAGTAATATACTCCACGTTGACGACGTGCGCATAAAGAGATACGCTTATAAGTGTTGACCCCCCTGCAAGGGTCGAGTACCTCATCTCGCATCGCGTCATACTGCGTCGCGCAGGAAGAGATCGATAGGTCGTTATAGACACGCGCGTGAACATATTTACGTGTGAGTAGGTAGGCCTGTGTGTGTATCCTACGTGTTCTTGTGCGATATAATCAATTTTGCGCTTCTTGATTAATACGAGGTAAATGAATAATCTCTGGGAATCGCTTGAACGCCCATCACGAGATGTTGTAGATTGTGCAAGGAGACTTACTCGAGAGCGACGTCATATGTTGCAAGAAAATTTGAAGAGGAATGATGGATCGATCTGACCGAACCGAGATGAAATGAAAAAATTCAGCAACGAGCACCAGTGCTAGCGTACACAGACTATAGTTACATTTTCAAGCCAGAGAATATTGTGCGAGGATCGATTATTTTTAATTAAAAATAACGAAATTATCGAGTTCGGCATGATTTTGCCGACGTTGCTGATTAGGCATGTCGGAAGCAATTTGAAACCCCTACAGTAATCTGCTGTAAATGGAATATATAGTTCTGTAAGATACTCGTAACAAGACTGTCGATCGAACGGTGGTTCAAAGGGTAAAGAACATCGATACATATACAGCTTTCAAGTTTGCAAGTATCTGCTGCTGTGTTGATATAATTGCCATACGACAGCCGATTAAAATTGCATTTTGCCCCATCAACTAAGTACTGTTACATCGCTGAAATCGTACGAACATCAATTCTAATTTTAATTTAAAAAATGTTCATGTCTTACCTTTCTTTCGAAAGAAATATTCAACGTCGACGAAAAACATGTCCAAACTTATCGAAAATCTAAATTTTTCAAATCGAATGTGAGAGATATGGAGAATGTTCAATGCCTTCTCCTCGATTGAAAATATGATTGGAATTACACAAAATGATTATGGATTATAAACCTTGCTGATTTTTTTTCTCTTGCACTTGATACTAGAATAAAATAAAAATTCTCCACTTGTATTATGAGCAGCATGTCGCACAAAACAAAAGCTTGTATCACTGAAAACCTAACTGAAAGACGAAGAAGAAGATCTAGTAGGGATACAAGAGTAAAACTGAGGTACATATTTAATTCCAGTAATTAATGCCGTCTTGTAAAACATGCCTCTTGGGGGGGTCTCTGCTCTACATATAGCTCAACCCTCGAATGCTTAGCTGTCTCTCTCTCTTTCTCTTCATCCCTTGGCAGTAATGAGCCCGATAAATCAACTGCTTCTAAACTCGAAACTTCTGAATAAGTTGAAGGCCGTCTCATCGACCAAACAGCAGTAACAGCAGTATAGGAGCCAAGCGCCGAATGCGCTTTTCCAGCTTTTCCGTGGCCACTCGCGCAGAGTACACAGACCCGCACACAAGTAAAAACGAGCTTAAAAGCTCGGATGCCGGAATTTTCTCCCAAACTTCTGTCTGCACGAACCGTAGTATTTATTGCTCGACTATATTTTGCCATGCCGAATTCAAAGAACACCTAAATACCTCGCGAAATGGTCAAAAAAGTCGAACGTCTCAAGCTCCTTTTGAATTTTTTTCGCGAACTGTACTCCGCGCGCTCGCGTATATTTCATTTTTTACTCGCCAACAACACTATTACGACCTGGATTTTTACCAATTAATTCTAGCACAAAAGACCGTGGTGGTGCGTGCCCCGATGGAGAATGAAGAGTGAAAAAAGTATAGGCAGAATTTTTTTCATACTCCTCGTCGAGGATTTAGTCTGCCCACTCCAGCCATTATATGCATAATCCCCTGGACTAATAGGCATTGCCGCTGTGGTACTAGCGGCTAGCGAGCCTGCCACAAGAGGAAAATGACGGAGCGTGACAGGCAGGCTGGGCACGGTACGAAGCTATTACGACTCGGTGGTGTTGCTGGCACGACCCCGCTTTAACTTTAATTAATGAAATTGCTACGCACGCGACACTTTAGGGAAGTACACCACAATCATAGACTATCATTTTGTAAAGATTATCGTGGTTAGCTTAAGTGCCCGAGGTAATAAGTCATCCTCACAATAAAATCTCTTTGTAGCTGATTAAGTCATTTGTTAAAAATTCTGAATCACTTTTGGCTGAAATAATTTTTCAAAAGTTCCGACGACAAAATGCAAAAATGGCTGCGTACGAACATGCGAAAATGTCCGCTGCGCATATTTCGAATAATATGACTTATTAAAATTACAAAGGAGAGGGCTAGACGCGGACGAGCGTATTCTCGCAAGGGTCGCATTCCTCCGACCGCATCCTCCAGAAAACCACGTATACACGCGAGATGAAAAGAGCCCAGTCTAGGCTTCTGGGGCCTCTCGAGGAATAAGCCCCGGACTTTGCATATACACGACTGACCGTTGGGAATTGCGTGACCGCGAACGCGCTTCTGCAGCTCGCATCTTGACGCGTTGTATCCTGGATTAATGTTATTGCTTCGGCAATTCTCAGTAGCCATCCCTCTCTATCTCCGAGCGAGGGTCGTGTACACGCGGACGATGCGGAAATTAACGGTGAACCAATTTTCAAAGGGTCTACGCGGTCTTATGAGCTCCACACATTGACAATTAGGTATTCGAATTTTATAATAATGAATTTTTTATGAATACTTATTGCTTGTACCTAGCTCTCATTTGATTATTTATTTAGTATGAATTTCGTAGAATTTACAAAAAAATTCTAATCAATAGTTTGTAAAATATTAACATTTATTTATTCACATACTAATAATAGATCTAACGAAAATTAAATACTGATGTACACAGGCTCTCCAAGCACATTTCCTGCGGGTCCATAGTTACAAATTAGATAAAAACGGTTCAATCCACTGCTATGAGTTCGCACAGCCCCGCATCCAACTATTTTAGTATCAGCCCAAACCATTTGCGAATAGTGTGCTGTGGCAGGTCTCGAGAAACTGTAATAATTATGTTGGATGATGAATTTTCTTAAAATGAAAACTAATTGATTTTTTTAAAAAAGATCTTACGTAAATTTGTCAACTTCAGAGCAATCGAAAAGTTTGACCTCGTTGTACCACAAGTCAATCATATCGGTTATGCTATAGATACTTATGTCCTCGGAAGTACCCCTATAAGCAGTATTTTGACCCACCCAAAACCTCTCTACAAATTATAGCAAATGTTATAATGTATCAAAAAGTTTTGCAAATGATGAACTTAGTTCGAACTAAAACCTACCAACGTTTCTACAAGAATCGTGATTGACAGTGCACTGATTGGCCCATTTTTGGGCGATATTTGCTAATTCATCGTCCCAAGTCTAAAATTTTTTATCAAATTGCAATACGATTTACTATTAGAAATTCAGGATTAGAATTATTAAAAACAAAGTTACTTACGAGGGGAGGAATTTCTTTAGCTGCCGGTTGAGGCCCAGGATCACCTCGAGTTTCTTCTCCAGCAGCTATTTTTTGTCTTATTTCATTGTGATATTTCAGAATTTCTTCTTTTTCTGCATCGGTCAACCCATCAATTAATATTTTGTTGCATCGAGAGGATTTTTCATTTCCCTAAAAGTCATATTTGATTTTGAAAATTGTTTCATTAAAGAAATATAAAAAGATACATCACTTACAGTAAACCGGCAAGCTGTATGTTGACGTCCTTGACATGATTCTATGTTACAGTAATTTGCCAGTGATAAGCTGAATAATGAAGAGATCAAAAAAAAGAATGGAGTAAATGCTAACGATTTCATTTTTCCTTGACGATACATTAAACGTATGAAATTTGCGTTAATTCATCGATCGAAAATGCCTGAAAAATGTTTGAAAATGCTCGTCTTATATAAGAAACGAAAACTGTCTGTGTTTTGCTTTGAACATCGTTATCATAATCAATCGTACATGTGTATATCTTTTGATGATACAATTTATTTTATCTAGAGTAACAATAAGTATAATTTTTATCAATGAACATGCTTTAAGGAGCTTTAGCATGGTAAGCGAATCGAAATACAAATTAATATCATTAAATTGATTCACATCGGTGCTAATCGACGGAAAACAATGTGAGAACAAGCAAATTTCATCAATGTCAACAGGAAATGTGTAATTTATTGATTGAAAAATCAGTCACCAAAAGATCTGTTGATTCAAAAGGTATTTTTGACAAAAAGTATCTTATTTAAAGTTTAATTTCTAATAATTTACTGATGCGCTATGCACAAATGAATTTTAACAATCATAGCTGTCATTTTGACTTATGCATCAATTTTTTCAACTTACTCTTTCAACTTTTATTTTGCTTACTCCTAGCGTAAGGAATATTTCTTTTATAAAAAGTAAAATGGAAATTTATTTCTACCCTGTTTAATGAACTAGGAAATATACATTTTTCATGTTTTAATATTAAAAATGCAACAAGATTTTGAATTTTCCCAGTACTTTTTTCGGCTTTATAATATTGTCTTTCATAATATCTTATCTTAATATTGTATAAAAGTTCAATACTCTCAATCATAAATTCATATACTCCAAGGAAAGAACATCGGTTATAAAATCGATTTTCTTATTACGTCACGTAGATTGGAAGAAAAAGCAAGAAAATTACTCATCCTGAAAAAATCGTCACGTACAGTAGACTGGTAAATATTTATTAATTAATAACCGAAAGAGTTCATGTTTATAATTTGATTAAAATTGAAATTTGGGGTTTCCCAAGCAAGAATTTTTTTCTCTTACATTTAGTTGAAAAATATCAAAAATCGTGAAAAATTTTAAGAAGAGATGTAGTAGGAAAAAATTGTAATTGAGAATATTTGGGTATAACTTTTTTTGGCTGCACTCAAAATTTATGACGAGGAAGTTGGTTGAAGTAGGTTGCACGTGTTTTCTGTGAGCTGTAGCCATGTAACATATCGCGTCATTTCTGGGCGAAAATTCGTTTAATAAACGAGGCAAGACAAAACTCATCACGTTCACAGCTTCGGTTGATCTATATATGTACGAACAAACGACCTTTGGACCCGAGGAAAAGTCTCCGAGCTCTTGATTTTATTTCGTTCGACGAACCATCAAGAAAGCATCATGTCTACGTGCACAAGCACGAGCATAGAGCAGCGGCAGCCTTTCTTGCTCGTGACGAACGAAAAATAAGACGTAAAAGCTCGAGAAATAAAGAGATGGAAAAGAATGAAAGGGGAGGCCAATAAGACAAAGTCTTGAGTAACCATTAACACCTCTCTGCGTCTCTTTCGCTCTGCCGGACAAATCACTCGATTTTCCCCGAGACGATTCCAGTTGCGGCACGTCCGCGGTAAATAAGGAAACGCTAGAGCCATGTATCACCCCGGGGATACGACACGCAAGAAAATATAACAACTGAAACAAGGAAAAGAGAGCAAGGGGGAGCGGAGTCTAAAGGTGCTTTACTGCTCTCGCCCAGTAATGACGAAATAGATGGTTTTAGTTGCGCGCGCGTATACGGCGTATCTTTAGAGAGCGGTAGGCAGCGAAAAAACGTCGTCGACGTCGTCGTCGTCGCTCCCACAGGAAGTCGGTAGAGAAAGAAATGAGTTAGAAGCGCTGATGAAGTGCGACCATTACCCGATACATATACACACGTACCCAAACGCATACACGTTTACAGAAAAGCTTTTCCCTTCTGCAGCTGCGTGTACGTGTGTCTGTGTATACGCGAGAGCGACTTTATTACCCGTGAGCGACGAGACCAGCGAGGGTATTATATAAAGCAACGGAGTCCTTAAATCGTCTGCAGCATCGTGGGATGTGTCGCTGTATGAGTGTGTAATCGTGCCATAGAACGAAAACAATGGGCGAATGAAAGTCAGTGTACATAGGGGCATGAGCTGCGCGCGGGCCTTTTTCCTTCATAATCCTTATGAAGTTAGTTTAGAAGCTTGTGTGTGTGTGTGTGTGTGTGTATAGAATCTGAGGCAATGCACTTTTGCAGCCGCCTTCATGTTGTGTCGTCGAGTGACATTCGTTATCGCTCCTCATTGTATTACACTGCATGTAGCGTAGCATAGCTGCGGAGCTGTACGCGCGCTAAGCATTGCTCGTTATGATTTTTGAGCTTTATAGAGTCGTGAGGGAGTTTACAGTTATTATTACAGAGCTGGCCACGTTACGGCGTGCTTATACACACTCGCACGCACGCTTATGCTTCTGCTACTGCTGCTGCTGCTGAGCTCTTAATCAATTGATTTTTAGAACTCTCGTATCGTTGTTGCTGTTGTTGTTCTGCCCCTGCTTTCTCAAACTTTATAATGGCTTTCAAAGATGATAATACATTGTTTAGAAAGTCAGAAAAAATTCAACACATTAATTATTGAGTCCATCAATATTTTTTCTTTTATTATCAAAAAAGTTTGACTGCAAGCCGAGCTCATTTTAACACAACCGCTGCGACAATTTCCGAAGAGCGATGTGCGATAAGAAACAACGTAAATATGAATTAATCCATGACTCGCGAAATGCATCCGGCCGATTGATAAACAGTTTGGGAGGAAAATTGATTTAAGCGGCTTTAAATCATTTTCACTGACGACTTACTATCACAACGATTTTTAGACAAAATTAAATATTTTATTGGTTAGGCTACCCTCAATTCACTTACACGATGTAAAATCGATATAGCTACAAAGACGATTTCACTAAGGTGTCTGTACGTTGATGGGAGGGTTTAAAAGGTTTCAACATATATCAGAATCAATGTGATTAAAAAAATTAGGAAACCCCATCGAGGCATTGTGAAGTCGTAACTTGGATCTACATTGCACGTAGCAATTAATAAATCGGGTCTATCGCTTCGACCCGTCCAGGCAAAAGTATAATACACATTCTATACTTCAACTGGATATATTCCATAAAATTTTAAACATATTCAATTCCAGTACGTATGTTGTTTTATTATATATTGTATTTCAAAAAGTTTGGCGAGTCCTATCTAATAGCGGAATCTTTTTGTATTTTTTCAAAAAGTATCTCAACAAGTTTGTTGTCATATCCTTGAATACTTTAAATATTCTGAATAATTCAATAAATTAAATTAAATTAACCAATAAATATTTTCAAAAATCGATCAAAAAACGTAAAGAACTATAAAAAAAATTTTACAAGCGATAAATTACGTGTGAAAATTAAAGACTAATCTTTAACGTGTCGACAAAACTGGGTTTGTAATAAGTATCCTTGGCTTACGCTTGTGGGCTTACTAGTCGCATATTTCCTTTTGTCAATGTGTACGTTAACCTAGAAGAAAGTACACGTAAAATTACTGAGTGGTGGTGCATCTTGATTACGCGCATTCGATTCGTCGACGAATCACGGAAGCCATTTGTCTACTGGATATAAGATCGGGAAAAATTCAGACGAGCTTTATATCGTCAAGGAGTGAGAGAGAGAAAGAGAAAGAGAGAAAGAACATGTGCTACTACACACATACACTTACATCAGAGGAAAAGAGGTGTATTTACCGTAACGAGAGATCGATCTCGATCGAGTTATATGTATGAACGTATTGATATTACTTGTTGCTGGATCGTTGCGTCTGCGAATAAGCTCGTACATAAAGGTTAAAAGTTATACTCTCAAATACATTAGGAGAAGAGAAAGAAAACGAGAAGTTGCAGCTTGATTGATTCGTATACGCGGGTGCTATCGACGTTTCTCGGGCCCTTTCGTCGTCGTTTTTATTCATATTAGCTTTATGTGCTCGTATCTAATTTTTTGTAATCGCTGACAATGATTTTCAAGTTCAGATTGATTTACAACTGCATCGACGAGAGCATTTTTTTACAGAATCGAATCGAACGAATGTATCATTGCGGAAAATAGTCAAGCAAAGAGATAAGGTACAATTTCACGGCAATCGCATTGGCAAATGTATACAAAATACAAGTATATTAGCGAGCATATAATATAACAGAATAAGAAACGTAGGAGGTTCAAAAGTCTATTACATGACTACACTTAAAGCTGCTACATCAAATGGCATTACGTAAAATTAAAATTACTCCCGTGTATAGATTTGGTCTGCTCGAAATGCTATGTATGAGCACAATATGCACGGCCCGTCGCGCTATCAGATTTAATTAACACAAACATTTCTCAAATCTATAATACAAATCGATCTGATATATGAGGCTACACAAAAAGAGTCGTGACTCTATATTACAAGCGGCGAGCTCCAGTCTGCAGTGTGTATGTGTGTGTCTGTGTGTGGTAGCTGAGCTGCAGCAACAGCACGCCACTGAGAGGATGACGAGAGAACAAAACAAATGAAACAATAAGTTGGGCCGACTCGGAGCTTTTTAATTACGTTTTTTCAGATAACTCAACGATACATAAATATATATGTGCAAGAACGCAGATATAATATCCAGCTCGAAACTTATGCAAACGTCGTCGCGCGCTCATGCTGCGGGAGGCTTGCTCGCTCACTCGATTCTGGTGCACGATTGTTAGGCAAAAATTCTTGTAACTTGTTGTAATAGCTGCTGCCTCCGCCGCCGCCACCGTCGCTCTGTGGCTGCTGCCGCTGCTGCTCTATTAAAGCTAAGATAGGGTGACCTGGAGAGAGAAGATTAATGCTTCCTCCCGTATATACGTACTCTGACCAGACTAATAGGAAGCACTTTTCAGTCACG